CCCCAAAACCCCAAAACCCCAAAACCCCATCAGGGTAAATTAGGTAAATTTAATGTGTATCGATCTATATTTCTTACAAATTAATCTAAAATAAAACATGGGGGGCTGCACTTCAACGAAAGCTAAAGTTGTTAAACCTTCATAGAATGGAGGCCTCGTTTATACCCCAAGAGGTACAAGCATAATGTACAACCTGGCAATGAGAGATATAAAAGGATTTAGAAAATCAGATACAGTTGAACTACATTATGAGATTAAGGAAACAATAGGAAGAGGTATTTAGATTATGATTATACTTTAATTTAAAAAGGTTCATTTGGAGAAGTTCTTAAAGCTGTGCATATACCGAGTGGGGATATTCGAGCAATTAAAATTATTGAAAAGAAGAAGATACATAAGCACGATATCCTAGTTAGATTACTTTTGTAAGAGTTTTAAGTATTACAAGAAACTGTAAGTTATTAAACCTTACTATCCAAACTTTCAAATATTTAAAGATGAAACAATCAGCAATAATTGTTTCTTGAGATATTATTCATTATTAGAGTAGCACAGAAATACTTAACTTATTAAATTTAGGATCATCCTCATCTAATGAGAATTCATGAAATGATGGAAGATGAGAAGCATTACTATATTATATCTGAGTTGTTAGAGGGTGGTGAGTTATATGATAGAATTTTGAAAATTAAAAGGTTTTGTGAGAGAGATGCAGCTATAATAATCCATTAGGTCCTGCTAGGTCTGAATTATATGCATAAGAAGAATATTGTCCACAGAGATATCAAGCCAGAAAACATATTGTTCGAAACTCTGGACAATAAAAACTTGAATATTAAGATTACAGATTTTGGATTTGCTTAGTTTTATGAACCAGAAAAAGGAGGAATGACTGATACTCTTGGAAGCCCGTTATATATGGCTCCTGAAATTATTAAAAAGGTCAAATACGATTTCAAAGTTGATGTTTGGTCGATGGGAGTCATCACATATATTTTATTGACAGGAAAACCACCTTTTAATGGCAAATCTAAAGATGAAATTTTTCTTCAGGTTGCTACAAAGGCTGTGAGCTTTTCTGACGTTATCTGGGGAAAAGTCAGTTCTGAGGCGTTGCAATTTGTTAAGAAGTGCTTGACTCGGGATCAAAGATATCGCCCATCAATAGAAGAACTGTTAGAATCAGATTGGATCAAGAATACAATTGATAGACCGGTTTTGACAAATGATTAGCTTCTAGATATAAGTAATAATCTTCAGAAATTTAGAAGATACTCTTCATTTTAATCAGGAATTATGGCTTACATCATGTAATTTCATGAGGAATATGGTGAGTATGATGAGCTTAGAAGAATATTTTTAGCTCTAGATAAGACTAACGATGGAAAACTTACTATAGAGGAAATTCATGAAGGACTTTAGTAGGTTTTAGGTAAAGTTAAACATAAAGCAAGAGAATTTGAGTAAATCATGGTTGATCTAGACAAAGATTGCAACGGTGTTATTGATTATTCTGAATTCTTAACTGCTGCTGTAAATAAAAGAAGACTACTCTAGGAAGATAATCTATAGATAGCATTCTAAATGATTGACTCCGATAAAAATGGGTAGCTGAGTATCCAAGAACTGAAGGATGCCTTTGAGATATAAAATAAAAAGGATGAAAAATTATGGAAACAGATCATGAATGAGGTTGACAAGAATAAAGATGGATCAATAAGCTACGAAGAATTTACCGATGTAATGAATAAAGTTGTTGAGATAAATTACAGAGATTTAGCTAAGACTGTGTAGAAAAAATTATAATAGCAAATCAACCTTAGTCTGTAATAAGGTCTTTGAAAGGATAATAAACTCTAAAAATAATGTTGAATACTCCAGATTTTGATAAATGCTCATCTGTTCATTTATTGACTAAAATCAGAGTCTTTATAATATTTTTAATTTACAAAGTCTATTTTTTTTAATTTATCAATCTCTAGTTTACATTAGAAATTTGGGTAAGTGGGGTTTTGGGGTTTTGGGGTAGTAGAGGTTGTTGTCGTA